CCTGTACTCCATAACCACCCCTATGTCCTGTACTCCATAACGGCCCCTATGTCCTGTACTCCATAACCATCCCTATTTCCTGTACTCCACCCCTATGTCCGGTACTCTATAACCACCCTATGTCCGGTACTCTATAACCACCGCTGTGTCCTGTACTCCATAACCACCCCTATGTCCTGTACTCCATAACCATCCCTATTTCCTGTACTCCACCCCTATGTCCGGTACTCTATAACCACCCTATGTCCGGTACTCTATAACCACCCCTATGTCCTGTACTCCATAACCACCCCTATGTCCTGTACTCCATAACCATCCCTATTTCCTGTACTCCACCCCTATGTCCGGTACTCTATAACCCCCCTATGTCCGGTACTCTATAACCACCGCTGTGTCCTGTACTCCATAACCACCCCTATGTCCTGTACTCCATAACCATCCCTATTTCCTGTACTCCACCCCTATGTCCTGTACTCCATAACCACCCTATGTCAGGTACTCTATAACCACCGCTGTGTCCTGTACTCCATAACCACCCCTATGTCCTGTACTCCATAACCATCCCTATTTCCTGTACTCCACCCCTATGTCCTGTACTCCATAACCACCCTTTGTCCTGTACTCCATAACCACCCCTATGTCCTGTACTCCACCCCTATGTCCGGTACTCTATAACCACCCTATATTCGGTACTCTATAACCACCGCTGTGTCCTGCTATAAAGGAGAACTATTACTCAATCTAACCACAATTGAGAAGCACTCAAGGCCTGGCATTTTGATGTCTACCTGGCCTGTGTATGAAGTGGTTGATCTCAAGTCTCCCAGTAAACACAGGCCATTCTTCCCATGTTTACTCATGAATAATCAATGCAAATTAACTTCTATGTTTGCATATGATTACCTGGTGACGGTGACCCCGGTGTGACACGGGTTGTAGTGAATCATGAAACCACACTTCGCCATACCGGACCTCATAGTCAAATCAACAAATCTATTGCTTTACAAATACAACTTCATTTGAACTGAAATGAAATATTCATAAAAAAACATTGACAAAAATGCTAATATGCATAAATCTTCAAAATTCACTTGTAACCTAGAGATATACAGTTAAAAAGTGTTCCTACATGGTTTTGAAAAATACTACCGGTATTACTCAATTAAACTCATTTATCAATCAAATATTTTAAATCACAAAAACAACTTCCTTCTGACTTTTTTATGTTTATAAAAGTACAGTCAATTCTAGTTTATGTGCATAATCAGATCATTTTATGAGTGTATCTAAATAGTTGTCGCCAGGGCTGAAAAATTGGCAATGGGACATTTTATACAACCTACAGCGGGTACCTGGGTACTAAATTTGGACTTGTCCCAGCCCTATCTCCAACTGATGGGGCTAACTCCAACCGCCGTCCATGCCAACATGGTGTCAACTTTAGGAGATGATGCTCCTGTTAAGAGGTGGCCAGCAGAGTTCAAGAAGGGAAGAGAGAGCCTTGAAGATGATCCAGGATCAGGAAGACCTTCAACTCCACTACTTAGGAAAATGTTGATACAATACATATGATTATGGATGATGATGACACACCATAGATCACATGACCAACAGAGTAGGCATCTCTCTTGAGAGAGTTGAGAACAATCTGAGGAATGAACTGACAAAGGTTTCAGCACGATGGGTTCCAAGGCTTATGACTCCTGATTTGGAAACACTCCAGGTTTGTCATCTCTTTTGAGAATTCACGTCATTTTGAAGCAGACCCTGCAGATTGTGTTGAATGATTTGGAACCATGGATTTGTGTTGTGTTCACCACAATCAGCCAGAGACTAAACGACATGTAAAGCAGTGGAACCATCTAACGTCTTGCCAGGTGATGGCTTTGGCTTTTGGAACACTTATAAAAGGTGTGCCGTTCCACCAGGACAGTGCACCTGTGTACAAGTCGCCATGCATAAATGTGGCTTTGAACTCATTGAACATACTTCGTATTCACCAGATATGATCGCCATCAGATTTCCACATTTTCCCAAACTTGAAGAACGAACTGTCTGGCAAGCATTCTGCAGATGATGATGACATCCTTCATCCTGTGGAGGACTTTCTACACCACCAGGAGGAGGCCTTCTACTCCAATAGGATTCAGGCACCCCAGCCTTGTTGGCAGACCTGTGAGGATCTTGGGGGATTATGTTAAAAAATAATTAGCAACCATCTCCATCAAGGCTGTCCATCATAGTTAGGTCCAGAACGTTTCAGCCACACTTTGTATGCAGCATCAGTTCTAGGCCATCTCCTATCAGATCATAACTATTTCAAGCATATCATTCTGAACAGAATATTTAATCACACAGTCAACCATGCGTAATGTCCACTACTGACAATATGACAGATGAAATTGACAATCATGTCACCTGTCGAAGTCCCAGGTGTGAAGTCATTAACACTGATTGCTACCTTGATGAATGTTCACAGGGGCATTGTCCCCAGTAGAGGCTAGCCCCAGTGTACACCATGTAACTGATTGAAGAGTATTACAGATTGTAATCCCATCCTTGTCACAAATAATCGTCTCATCCACATCCACCACTACAAGTGTAGGATGTTTCTGTATCAAATATCCTCGATCTCACATTTAGTTATACAATGTGCACAACCTTTGATCTTTGATGAACTGTATTACTACATGTAGTAGAAATGTGTAAATGAATAATCAAGATACGCAATGTCAAGTATTCATGTGTTTGTGAGTGTAAGCCACATGGCAAATTATCAATATGTTAGCCACATCCCCCTTGATGTATTTTCTGGGAAAGGAGAATATTTCCAAACTTGTTTCACCTTTAAGTTAAAGACATTTTAGGAATATGACACCCATTTCCTTCTGATCAACAGGCATTAACTGAATTCTAATGTTGATGTTTCTTCTTTGTTTCTCTGTATATGACTCCAGTCAGCCCTTGTTGTGATCATCTTGACATAAGCACTTACCACATCTGCAAAACAGTACTTGGCACATGGGTGTTGTGAACAACATTATGATTGCTTCACGCTAAATAACTTCTCCCAAATAACTACAAGACTAAACTTAGAGCACTTGTACCAAATAATATGTACAATTCATGTTTCAAATCAAGTCAAAACGACAAATTCAAACTTTGATTTTCTGGAATGTTATGAAACCTGAGCACAGTTGCACATCACTCCCTGTAACATGACAGGTTTTTCACTGGGAACAATATCCTGCCACACGCTGGAGGCTTTCTGTTCTGAGACGGCAGCTGGTCGGAGCACGTGCCCAAACATACCTCCACACACAGACCCCCGTCACTGCCATGTTATCAATATCTGTATAGGCCTTCTTCACAAGATATGTGGAAAAGATCAAATATTTTGCATGATGGGTAAACAAGATGATGATGGAAGTGGGTAAACATTGTCTTGCTTGGCCTGGGATTATCATGTTTGTCTCTGGCAATGTCTGTGTCAGTTGCATACAGAGTACTGGGGAAAATTGGAGAGGAAAACATATTTTTATGGCCAGAGCTTGAGTGTTGGTGAAAGGGCAATTCACAGTTGGCTGGTGCATCTGTCCGATGTCTCTGCATCCCAACATCAAGTTCACGTTAGGTCGGTGTATGTTGGAGTTGGTCAGCGTCTTGTAGAGGAGAGTGACTGCCTTACAAACACATCAGTACTGAAAGGCTGATACAGAGCTTGAAACTCAAACTCAATTTTGTGTGAATGAAGCGTGGACTAGGTCCTAGGGTTATATGATTGTCATGCCTAGTTTGCCTCCTCATCAATATGTCAGTATGTTTATAGGTCCCTCTCTGTCATACCATGCTATTTACATAGTCGTGTGAGGTCACAAACTTTAGATGTGTTTTAGGGCTGAGGATTTTCTTATGTAACAACAACAATAACAAGTATTTATATATGCTAATGCTGTCTTCAACTTTATTTAATATTTATCAGAAATTCAAAAAGCAATATGTGTTTTAGTTAACAGTAATTTTCAAAATAATATTCTACACTCATATGTTATTAGCTTCAGTTTCAATGTATATTCTGTGTATTTCACATCATGTCAACCATCTCGTCTTGCCTACTTCACCCATGGGTGTCTGCAAACATGAGATTAAACATTTTTAAATTCCATGGAAAGTTTTACTCAAATGTATATACATGATTCAGTTATAGTCTTGTAGCCACCAGAGCTTCCATTTGTTACATGGTTGAAATTTCTGGCACCATATCTTTCTTAGAATATAACAGTTCTTTATTCTCATAAATTATTTATAAATAAAAATGTAATGAAGACGATATGATCAGTATGACAATTTCCAGCACCACAAGTAACAGTGACAGGAGTCAAGTACATTTCACTGGGTTAAGTTGGAATTCCTATGCTAACAAACTTTTTTACCTTCAACACGTGACATAGATTTCCTAATCGATATCACTATCAACAAACAATCAGATGCAACAGTCATCTATGCATTTACAAACATGACTGACATGAATTCAAAACAGCCAATTGGAATGTTTCCTGTCCGAGGTTTCATTGACCAGTGTTGACCGGGGTGTGTTGACTGCCAGCTTAACGTGAATTGTTTTGGTCTCTGATTGTTTGCAGCTTGTAACCCGACAGAATTTACGTCCGCTAATGACGATCGTTTCATGCTTGCTGTTTGCTGTTGTCCGTCTTTTCTTGTTTTCTGTGAGATTAACATGGGATTAAGATTGTGTTCTTTTAAATTCCTCTATTGGATGAGCATCTTTGGCGGACCATTTCGGTATAAGGAGGGTCTCTTGGATGCAAACATCATCACTTGTAACAATGTAATTTTTGTGGCAGGCGATTTCTTATTTTTTCAACAGTCTGAAGCATAAGTTTTGTCAAGAACTTTCGAGGTCAATTTATATTTTTTTATAAAATCCCAGCCCCCCAGCATATCAAATGGTTTGTCCATAAGTACAAAGTGTGTAGATGTTAGTGGTGGCAGTAGCAGTGATGGTTGTCAGTGGATGCCTTGATAGTTGTTGCAGTTGCTGCACATGCTGTGTGGAAGTACAGGGTGTAGTAGTTGTTGTTGGAGTCGGGGTTGCACTTGTAGTTGACTTCGACACAGCAAGATGTGTGGCCAATCCCCAACAGCAAGTTCCACTGTAGTGGAAGCAGTGGAGTGATCTACATGATCCTCCTTAATCCGTTCTACCCAGCAGAACTTCTGCGGTAATTAGCATGAATACTCTCATAACCCCGCCCACCTGTGATTGCAAGTGTGAAACCCAATATCCTAGTGATGTCTTCCACAAGTACAGATCAGATGAAGGTAAATCCAGGACTCACCAACTCCTAACACAGTTAACTAATGTGGAGAATGGCCCCCATGCCCTGACTTGTAATGTCTGTTTCCTCTATTCACACAACTATTATTGTATGAAATGTGTGCCGTGTGTGTTGTGGTGTGACACAGACAAGGTGTGTCAGTGGCTTGTGTGTCAGTCTCCTGCCCCTGTGTGTCAGTGGCCTGTGTGTCAGTGCCCTGACCCTGTGTGTCAGTGGCCTGTGTGTCAGTCTCCTGCCCCTGTGTGTCAGTGGCCTGTGTGTCAGTCTCCGGCACCTGTGTGTCAGTGGCCTGTGTGTCAGTGGCCTGTGTGTCAGTGGCCTGTGTGTCAGTCTCCGGCACCTGTGTGTCAGTGGCCTGTGTGTCAGTGGCCTGTGTGTCAGTCTCCGGCACCTGTGTGTCAGTGGCTTGTGTGTCAGTCTCCTGCCCCTGTGTGTCAGTGGCCTGTGTGTCAGTCTCCTGTGTGTCAGTCTCCTGCCCCTGTGCAACAGTGGCCTGTGTGTCAGTGGCCTGTGTGTCAGTGGCCTGTGTGTCAGTGGCCTGTGTGTCAGTGGCCTGTGTGTCAGTGGCCTGTGCATCAGTGGCCTGTGTGTCAGTGGCCTGTGTGTCAGTCTCCTGTGTGTCAGTCTCCTGCCCCTGTGCATCAGTGGCCTGTGTGTCAGTGGCCTGTGTGTCAGTGGCCTGTGTGTCAGTGGCCTGTGTGTCAGTGGCCTGTGCATCAGTGGCCTGTGTGTCAGTGGCCTGTGTGTCAGTGGCCTGTGCATCAGTGGCCTGTGTGTCAGTGGCCTGTGTGTCAGTGGCCTGTGTGTCAGTCTCCGGCACCTGTGTGGGGCACACTCCAATGAAACCCCTCTGGATAAGAGAACCTGTACAACAACAACTGTAAATTGTATGTCAACTGAAACATGTGTACACACTCTGAAGATTTAAGTGCTCAAGTTATTAATGGCTTATTCATTCAATATTTAGGTGCATAAAATTACTTGAAAACATTTTAAAAGAATTGCCAAACCACCACACGTAGCCCTTCCCAGTCCATCACTCTGATGTTATTGATGGCTTATTCGTACATAAATATTATATATATGTCATACATATATATTATACAGACAATTGCCAAACCACCACACATGGCAATTCCCAATACCCTCTCTCTGATGATCAAATCAATGAGAATTCAGTGAAAAACAAAATTGCTTTTTTTCAACTGAATTTCCCCCCACCTGAAGAGCCTCTGCGATGATGAGGGGTGACTATCCCCCATGTTCCTGTTGAGGCGGCATCAGTTCAAACACTGCTCACACTGTGTGGGATTCCACAGGGCACCGTGACTGAAACACCGTCTCTTCTTGTTTTTATACACCTTAACATTATTTGGTTGATCTTAAACACTTTGAAATAAAAGCACCTGCAGATTGAGTATGGGGGAAGTGTAGATAGTCTGATATCCTCCGGGCTTTACCACAAGGTGCAGCACTTGGTTAGATTTGGAAGGATGTGCTGTGTCAGCATTAAAGGGGACTTACAAGAAACTAATTGTGTAAATTCTTTGATTATCAATTGATGTGAAGAACTTATTTTCAGATTTAGGATTATGGTCGAGTTGGCTAATCCTCTGTAGAAGAATTGGAATTGCAGCTTTGATGTTTAATATCAATCTTTCCATTCTTTGATATAGCAACTGTTCAGCATTTGGCACACACCCAGGACGGTAGATATATAGCATACCAACCATTAAATATCTAAGGGAGAGGGGTGGGGGAGCTGTGGGAGTTTTGTTGTAGAAGACTTATTCTTCCTGTCACTGCTTCAGGACATTCAATTGTTTTCAGCAAAAGGAGTTGAAGCCAAACAAAATGTTCAGGACCCCCATTTTTATTACGAACATCCATCAAGTCCTGTGAACAAATAATGTGGTGGTGTAATGACAGGCTGGTTGTTTCCATCACCTGAGGGAACACATGTAAATAGTTATATCTAAATGTACAGAGGCTGTTCAGATAGGGAAACATAGGATCTACCATTAACCTGACCAGTCAATACAACCAGTTGTGCTGTGATGTCAGTAATACAGAGGTTGTGAGAACCTGGTGTGGTCACCATGTTGACATCAGGAGAGACAGGTCCTCCCTTGTGTTCTCTGTCTGGTTACAGTCATTCAACATGCTGACATCAGGGAGACAGGGCCTCTCTTGTGTTCTCTGTCTGGTCACAGTCATTCAACATGCTGACATCAGGGAGACAGTGCCTCTCTTGTGTTCTCTGTCTGGTTACAGTCATTCAACATGCTGTCATCAGGGAGACAGGTCCTCCCTTGTATTCTCTGTCTGGTTACAGTCATTCAACATGCTGACATCAGGGAGACAGGTCCTCTCTTGTGTTCTCTGTCTGGTTACAGTCATTCAACATGCTGACATCGGGGAGACAGGGCCTGTCTTGTGTTCTCTGTCTGGTTACAGTCATTCAACATGCTGTCATCAGGGAGACAGGTCCTCCCTTGTGTTCTCTGTCTGGTTACAGTCATTCAACATGCTGACATCAGGGAGACAGGTCCTCTCTTGTGTTCTCTGTCTGGTTACAATCATTCAACATGCTGACATCAGGGAGACAGGTCCTCTCTTGTGTTCTCTGTCTGGTTACAGTCATTCAACATTCTGACATCGGGGAGACAGGGCCTGTCTTGTGTTCTCTGTTTGGTTACAGTCATTCAACATGCTGACATCAGGAGAGACAGGGCCTCCCTTGTTTTCTGTGTCTGGTTACAATCATTCAACATGCTGACATCAGGGAGACAGGTCCTCCCTTGTATTCTCTGTCTGGTTACAGTCATTCAACATGCTGACATCAGGGAGACAGGTCCTCCCTTGTATTCTCTGTCTGGTTACAGTCATTCAACATGCTGTCATCAGGGAGACAGGTCCTCCCTTGTATTCTCTGTCTGGTTACAGTCATTCGACATGCTGTCATCAGGGAGACAGGTCCTCCCTTGTATTCTCTGTCTGGTTACAGTCATTCAACATGCTGACATCAGGGAGACAGGTCCTCTCTTGTGTTCTCTGTCTGGTTACAGTCATTCAACATGCTGTCATCAGGGAGACAGGTCCTCTCTTGTGTTCTCTGTCTGGTTACAGTCATTCAACATTCTGACATTGGGGAGACAGGGCCTGTCTTGTGTTCTCTGTCTGGTTACAGTCATTCAACATGCTGACATCAGGGAGACAGGTCCTCTCTTGTGTTCTCTGTCTGGTTACAGTCATTCAACATGCTGACATCAGGGAGACAGGTCCTCTCTTGTGTTCTCTGTCTGGTTACAGTCATTCAACATTCTGACATCAGGGAGACAGGTCCTCCCTTGTATTCTCTGTCTGGTTACAGTCATTCAACATGCTGACATCAGGGAGACAGAGCCTCTCTTGTATTCTCTGTCTGGTTACAGTCATTCAACATGCTGACATCAGGGAGACAGGTCCTCTCTTGTGTTCTCTGTCTGGTTACAGTCATTCAACATTCTGACATCAGGGAGACAGGTCCTCTCTTGTGTTCTCTGTTTGGTTACAGTCATTCAACATGCTGACATCAGGGAGACAGGTCCTCTCTTGTGTTCTCTGTCTGGTTACAGTCATTCAACATGCTGACATCAGGGAGACAGGTCCTCTCTTGTGTTCTCTGTCTGGTTACAGTCATTCAACATGCTGACATCAGGAGAGACAGGTCCTCCCTTGTGTTCTCTGTCTGGTTACAGTCATTCAACATGCTGACATCAGGAGAGACAGGTCCTCCCTTGTGTTCTCTGTCTGGTTACAGTCATTCAACATGCTGACATCAGGGAGACAGGTCCTCCCTTGGGTTCTCTGTCTGGTTACAGTCATTCAACATGCTGACATCAGGGAGACAGGTCCTCTCTTGTGTTCTCTGTCTGGTTACAGTCATTCAACATGCTGACATCAGGGAGACAGGTCCTCTCTTGTGTTCTCTGTCTGGTTACAGTCATTCAACATGCTGACATCAGGGAGACAGTGCCTCTCTTGTGTTCTCTGTCTGGTTACAGTCATTCAACATGCTGACATCAGGGAGACTGGGCCTCTCTTGTGTTCTCTGTCTGGTTACAGACATTCAACATGCTGATATCAGGGAGACAGGTCCTTTCTTGTGTTCTCTGTCTGGTTACAGTCATTCAACATGCTGACATCAGGAGAGACAGGGCCTCTTTTTTCTTCTGTATGCCTGGGACATTATATAAATCATGAGAGGTTGTCAGGGACAATATACAAACATTGGAGGTTGTCTGGGACAATATACAAACATGGGAGGTTGTCAGGGACATTATACAAACATGGGAGGTTGTCAGGGACATTATACAACCATGGGAGGTTGTCAGGGACATTATACAAACATGGGAGGTTGTCAGGGACAATATACAAACATTGGAGGTTGTCCGGGACAATTTACAAACATGGGAGGTTGTCAGGGACATTATACAAACATGGGAGGTTGTCAGGGACATTGTACAACCATGGGAGGTTGTCAGGGACATTATACAACCATGGGAGGTTGTCAGGGACATTATACAAACATGGGAGGTTGTCAGGGACATTATACAATTATGGGAGGTTGTCAGGGACATTATACAAACATGGGAGGTTGTCAGGGACATTATACAAACATGGGAGCTTGTAGGGGACATTATACAAACATGGGAGGTTGTCAGGGACATTATACAAACATGGGAGGTTGTCAGGGACATTATACAAACATGGGAGGTTGTCAGGGACATTATACAAACATGGGAGGTTGTCAGGGACATTATACAACCATGGGAGGTTGTCAGGGACATTATACAAACATGGGAGGTTGTCAGGGACATTATACAAACATGGGAGGTTGTCAGGGACAATATACAAACATTGGAGGTTGTCCGGGACAATTTACAAACATGGGAGGTTGTCAGGGACATTATACAAACATGGGAGGTTGTCAGGGACATTGTACAACCATGGGAGGTTGTCAGGGACATTATACAAACATGGGAGGTTGTCAGGGACATTATACAAACATGGGAGGTTGTCAGGGACATTATACAAACATGGGAGGTTGTCAGGGACATTATACAATTATGGGAGGTTGTCAGGGACATTATACAAACATGGGAGGTTGTCAGGGACATTATACAAACATGGGAGCTTGTAGGGGACATTATACAAACATGGGAGGTTGTCAGGGACATTATACAAACATGGGAGGTTGTCAGGGACATTATACAAACATGGGAGGTTGTAGGGGACATTATACAAACATGGGAGGTTGTCAGGGACATTATACAAACATGGGAGGTTGTAGGGGACATTATACAACCATGGTAGCACTGGTCATTATCATGGAATGTTTTTACAAATAATCAAAATCACAAAAATCACTGAAATACATTCACTTTGTTGTGGCCTTAGCACTGAATTCCTTACAACATTACAAAGGTGACACAGGCAAGTGATTTCGCTGGAGGTGTCACATATAAGCATGGCCGGGTTTGGACAAGGATTGACCCTATCACTATAAAGAAGTCAGGTGGGGAGCAATACTTACATTTTATGATCATTTGATTTAGGGGTAATCCCTTGAAGTTGAACACTTACACACGCAGTCAATCTCCGCCACACCTGGGACACTGTATGGGTACTTGTACATGTTATACACCTCAAAGTCAATTTACTTGTGAGAATTTATAGAGTTTGTAATGGATGACTTGTGAAAATGAAAATATCAGCAACAGAAAGACCTGGTGCTTGGATAACCTGTCGTCAATACATTCTGTTTTGAATATGTTAGATTATTATATATAAATGCTATGAGAGTAAATTCCAAGATATACACACAAAATATCTTTGAGTAGATCAGTATATTTAAAGCAGTCAGGATATATTGGTTTGCACCATATGAAATGAAAGGGAAAATATATCCATACTGATCCAAATCAACCCAAAAATAATCTGTTTTGCAGAGAAATGCAGTAAAAACACCCATCAAATATTACAACTAGCTCAAAAGAATGTGGAAATATAAAGTACTGAATAAAAAATATGTCACTGAATACTTCTATATTGTGCAATATGTTATAGTGCATACAATTCTGGCACAGAAAATACATAGATGTGTTCACCACAGTTTTACTAAGTGCCACAGAAAAGTAAGCTATCATTGATTTTGATGTGATCTTTTTCTGTCTGTTATGTTAACAGGAAGTAATGGTGAGTGGATCACTGCCACCCTAGGATATCATTGTACTGTACTTAATATTACATTATTTGGGATTTACAATCTATTTATGTTACTTTATATAAAGTGATCAAATATGCATAGTTGCATAATTTGTGCCTGCTTCCATGAAGCTTTGTATTTCCCTGCTCCCTAAGGTAGGGTTCCTGGCTTACTTCGCCCTGCAGCATCTTGTAGACAGGCTGCTTGTATAATGCCTTCACAGAATGATCCAATGGATAGTTTTAGCTGATGCTTGTTCTGGAGTGCCCCCTTGTTGAGCTTGTGATGTCAGATTTAGGTACTTGTTTTCATACACCAAATAGGAAATATATTAAAAATATTGTAATAATTGCTGATCATTGACCTTTACCACTCAACTTGAACAACAAATCACACAACCATGAAACAGAATGAATTGAACTATAATTTTCAACATTATAGTTCAAGTAAATGTGCCCACAATTAGTTCTATTTCAAAGTATTTTGTATGAAACAAACACGACAGAATCTCATCTGTCGACAGGCAGCTCATGTTGATTGTAGTAAATATAGGTTTCCAACTTTAATGTGCATCGTATTCTACCCAATGAACTAATATTGCCATAAAAACATGCAGTTAGTATGTGTTGAATGAAGTCGTATGTAATAAACTTGTCGAAGTCCTATTGTCTTACCATAAATATGCCAATAATTCACT